AGCCGTGGGTCCTCAAGTGCCATATGCTGGGGATACCCTCAGCTCCTTAAGAACCATATTCTAGGGGTACCTTTAGATGCTCAAGTACTATATATTTGGGTACCTTTAGGTTCTCAAGGACTATATTCTGTAGTACCCTTAGGTCCTCCAATGCTGTATTCTATGGATACTGTTAAGCCCTCAAGGGTTATAGTCTGGATTACTATTAGATCCTCAATTGCCATATACTGGGGATACCTACACGTTCTCAAGGGCTATACTCTAGGGATACCAAGGGGGAAAAAAACGAAAATATCGCACTCCCGCGCACTCCTTGCACTCTCAGGCTATGTCATAACTACGTATCGGATCTTTCTAGCTATTTCAAGTCTACTATTGACTCGTGTTACTAGGGATGCAACGGTGACCATCATTCACCGGTTAACCGTAGGTACGGTTACCGGTCCAAGTACGATAACCATAGATAGTTATCGGTTCAAATCCATTGTCAACAAAAACGGCATTTTTTAAGAAAATAACGATATTTTATAAAGGTGGACGAAAGTAAATCGGCGTCGAGAAACCCGAATCTGGAGTCAGTTTTTGAAAATTTTGAATTAAATTTTTTCGACAAAAGAAAGGGTTTTTGAGAAAAATAATGATATTTTATAAAGGTGGACGAAAGTAAATCGGCGTCGAGGAATCTGAATCTGAAGTCGGTTTTTGAAAATTTCGAATTAAATTTTTCCGACAAAGGATAGGTTTTTTTAGAAAAATAATGATGTTTTATAAAGGTTGACGAAAGTAAATCGGGGTCGAAGTATCCGAATCTGAAGTCGGCTTTTGAAAATTTTGAGTTTTAGTTCTTCACATATGATGTTTTTCAGGGATAAAGTTTTCTAGAAAAAAAGACGGCTTTCAAGGAGCGGTTTAGTCTTCGGAAGAGAAAATTGAAAAGTTCAAGGATTTGATTGCAGATTTGGATTCTTTGACCTTGACTTACTTTTCGTCAACCTTCATAAGGTATCATTATTTTCCTAAAAAACCTTTCCTTTGTCGAAAAAATTCAATTCAAAATTTTCTAAAACTGACTTCAGATTCAGATTCCTCGGCCCCGATTTACTTTCGTCCACCTGTATAAAATATCATTATTTTTCTAAAAAACCCTTTCTTTTGTCGAAAAAATTCAATTCAAAATTTTCAAAAACTGACTTCAGATTCAGATTCCTCGACGCCGATTTACTTTCGTCAACCTTTATAAAATATCGTTATTTTCTTAAAAAATGCTGGTTTTGTTGACAACGAGTTTGAACCGATAACTACCTACAGTTATCGTACTTGGACCAGTAACC